ACCATTGCCATACATGTAAGATGGTAGATGGTGTTGGTATCTGTACCATCTATGGGATAGATGAACTCTTAATGTTGTTGTGTATTGTAAGTACCATTGCCATACATGTAAGATGGTAGATAGTGTTGGTATCTGTACCATCTATGGGATAGATGAACTCTTAATGTTGTTGTGTATTATAGGTACCATTGCCATACAGGTAAGATGGTAGATGGTGTCGGTGTCGGTATCTGTACCATCTATGGGATAGATGAACTCTTAATGTTGTTGTGTATTGTAGGTACCATTGCCATACATGTAAGATGGTGTTGGTATCTGTACATCTATGGGATAGATGAACTCTTAATGTTGTTGTGTATTGTAAGTACCATTGCCATACATGTAAGATGGTAGATGGTGTTGGTATCTGTACCATCTGTGGGATAGATGAACTCTTAATGTTGTTTTGTATTGTAGGTACCATTGCCATACATGTAAGATGGTAGATGGTGTTGGTATCTGTACCATCTGTGGGATAGATGAACTCTTAATGTTGTTTTGTATTGTAGGTACCATTGCCATACATGTAAGATGGTAGATGGTGTTGGTATTTGTACCATCTGTGCCAAGGTATGTCATAAAGATCATGAATTATCATATGCTAAGTATGGATCCTTCTTCTGTGATTGTGGTGCCAAAGAAGACGGCACATGTCAGGTATGTTACTATTCTATTTATGATTTACTTGTGGAATCACAGAATGAATATAAATGTTTATTTCCATACTAATGTCTCAATTTCTCAGACTTAGCAAAATTGTCCAAGCGTGTATAAATGACTGTCTATGTGTTAAAATGAGGGAGTTGTCACCTGCTCATGTGTCAGATGTATGCAGGAGACAACAAATCTTTTTTAACAAGTTTATTTTTATCATGCAGTACTTAGTGAATAATTATATATCTAGTTTTCTTTACTATTTACTTTCTTGGATCCAGGAAGACCCCCCCCCTCCTAGAAAGTCTCTGATTGATCCGTTTCCCTCCTGTACCCTTTTACTATAGGCACTAGTGAAGCGCATCCCTTCTAGTGGTCTGGACTCCAGTGTTGCTGCACAGACAGGTTTACAGTCACCTTTCTCAATGGATAAAGTACCAGATAGTTCCTTACGAAGGAGAACCTCCTCTCCAACTCCAATCGATAAAGCACAAAGCAGTGAGAAAACCAATGAGGAAGCCAACAAAGCCAGACTAGCTATGTGCAAACAAGTAGAAAAATTCAAGGATGTTCTGATAAACCATATAGTGAGTTAATTAATACTTTCTTTGTTATTATAAGCTGGATCAATAAATGCTTCTCTGTGGAGCGGCGAAATAAGGGGGGAAAAAAAACATCTGAATTATTTTTGTAAGGCCTACAATACGACTTACTTTTTACAATAGACACAGTCTACATAATCACATGCACTGCTAATACTAGTACAGCAGATTTGATATTTAATACAAAATTGAAGTTTCTACACTAAAATATCTGTGTAAAATTGACACCCTGTTCGCTTGTAAGATAAAAACTGTCAAGTGATGGTAAATTAGCATCCACCTGGCTATTGTTTCCTTAGTAATTACATGTATCAGTAATCAGTTGTTTATTGCTTTTATCACAAGAATTACTCACAGTTGTGTTTTCATTGATTTCTCAGGAGAGCTCTCAAATTGTCAGTACTATACTAACCATGGTGCAGACACTAGTGGAACCAATTGGTGAGAATTGTACACGTACATCACCAGTCGGTGCAGCTGGTCGGGCTCAGAAAGCGCTGCATGAGCTACATTCTATTGATAAAACAGTTGAAAACACTGATAACCTCATGGTAAGTACTCAACAAAACCATGTTACATGTCAATGTGGGTATTTTTAAGCATGTTTGAATAATTTTTTTATCATAAAATAATAACATCTCTTTAGTAGTCAACTTAGCAGTATTCGTTCAATGAGGTGTTATAAATTGTAAGTGAGCATGCACCCCAGGTTAAACATAGGTAATCTGAAGTGCACATGCACTTGCATTTTTACTGTTGCATTAAAGGAATACTGTTCACTAAGAGAAAGATATGTGAACCAATTAGAGAAAGCATGTCTTGCTCTACATGTGAGACATACAATTTACATGGTAACCTTGTTATAACAAACATCTTTATAATGAATTTCTCGATATAATGAACTTATTGCATGTCTCCAACTTATAACAAACCCAATGTATTATGTGATTCATTATAGTGAACACTTCACTATAACAAACCCAATGTATTATGTGATTCATTATAGTGAACACTTCACTATAACAAACCTAATGTATTATGTGCTTCACTATAGTGAACACTTCACTATAACAAACCCAATGTATTATGTGATTCATTATAGGGAACACTTCACTATAACAAACCCAATGTATTATGTGATTCATTATAGGGAACACTTCACTATAACAAACCCAATGTATTATGTGATTCACTATAGTGAACACTTCACTATAACAAACCCAATGTATTATGTGATTCATTATAGTGAACACTTCACTATAACAAACCCAATGTATTATGTGATTCACTATAGTGAACACTATGGTATGCCCCTTCAGAGTTTGTTATAACAGTGTATCCAAATATACTATAGCCTGTTTCCACACATTTCCAATAAACGTTATTTTTATTATCAAACCTAGGTTCCCACTCTTGGTTCACAAGA